CGTTTGTGAGAATTATACTGTTTTTATGACATTGTGGAAGAGGGGGAGTTCTCCTAATTTATATACTGAAACAAATATTGTGGGGGTAAGACACCCTTAACACCCCTCAGGGAAGGGGGTATTCTGTTTAGATGCAGCCTGTTGTGCCTTTAAATGGCTTCTACTGTACTGCAGCAAAATGGCTTCCACTGTACAGCACACTGTAGTTGCCATGGTAACGGCTTCCCAGGACTCCAGTGGACAGCCCCCCCCCCCCTTCTTGAGTGAGAATTTAGGTATTTGAGCTTGCTCAACTGCAACGTGGACTAGAAACTTAAAATCTCCCTTTTTCACGGGGAAACCATTTTTTTCTGTTTTTCATCCCTGGAAGCGGCCGGGGGGAGGTGCAGTTCCCACCCGCCTCCTGCTTTTGACCACCAGGAGGCTGAAGGGAGATGTACTGCCTCAAAATGGGGCTGGGGGGCAGAGCAGGCCTCCTCCCCGCGGCCAATTTTTAGTCCCAGGAAGCTGCAACAGAGGCCGGATCTATCCAAAACTGGGCATAGGGGCATGGAGCCGCCCATCTTCTGTGCCCCGTTTTTGGTCGCAGGAGACTTCAGAGAGGCCCATTAGTCTCAAATTGGGGCATGTGGGGTGTGCGTCTCCCCCCCCCCTTTTGTGTAGTTTGAGACTGTAAGGAGGCCTGTTAGGCCTAAAACTAGAGATGAGGAGGGAGGGCCTCCATCCTCGCGGACTGTTTTTGGTTCCAAGAGTACTGCTAGGTGTAAAACAGGGTGGGAAACTGCAGCCACCCCTCCTGAAGCACGTTTTTGGTATGGGGAGGCTGCAGGCCCAAAATGAGCGCCTGTACCTTGGATGTTCCCGAGTTATATTCTGTCATACAGATAGAAGATGCCCGGCTTCTCGCATGAGGTACCTGGTGTGGGTGCTCCCTTGGCGGTTCATATGGGCCTTGGTGGCTCTGTTGTCTGCTAGGATCAGTGTATGTTGGCCGGAGACGATGGTCTGGATCCGTCGGAGTACTACGTGGCATGCTTTGAGCTTTTGCCAGTTGAAGCTGATTCGCAAGTCCTCTTAGAACCACTGGCCTTGTGCCCTCTGGGTCCTGGTATGCAGACGTGGGCCGGGAAAGATGGAGACGCAGGACACCATCTTGCCTAACAATTGTGAGACGAGGTCGAGAGGCACCGTTCGATCCGATGGGATGCGGTTCGCCAGAACGCTGATGCTGAGCTGGCGGTCCTGGGACTGGGAGACTAGGCACGATGTCGCGTCTATAGGTGCTGCTAGATGGAGCATCCTTTTGGTAGGAGACAAGTGGTTCTTGTCGTGGTTGACTCTGAATCCCAGATTCCCTGAAGGACCCCGAAGGATCAGGATCGTGACATGGAGGTTCTCTGTGGGCCGGAGGTGAGACGATTCGATCAACAGGTTGGCCAGATAGCGTTGGACGGGAATAGCGATAGTCCTGAGGTGAGCCGAAAGTGTAGCTAGTATCTTTGTGAGGGCCCTGTACTGGAAATGCTGATTTGCGTGGCGTATCCATAGAAATTGTTGGTGAGTCGGCAATAGGGGGACGTGTAGATATGTTTCCGTGAGATCTATTGACCTCAGGAAGTCGGCCACTCGGATGCTGTCCAGTATGGACTGGATTTTTAATCTCTTGTATACCAGATGCTTGTTGAGTCTTTTTAACTCGAGAATCGCTCTTCATCTCTTTGAATCTT